CACCGGAGAACATAATTTACTTTTTAGTCGGTGTTTCTATCTATATAACTGTATTATCAAACATATAAATCAGAATTTCATAAATATTTGGTATTTACCCTTGAATATTCCATTGTCATCATATTATTAGGTAACTTAAGTAAAAGCAACATAAGCTAGCTTGTGAACGAGTTGATTTGTTGAATAACCTGTTTCGATATTTATATGGAACATTTAATTGGTCTTTGGTTACAATTTCTGTAATAAAAAACAAAGTTGAGGATTCACATACTTCTCTGGAGGTATTTAAAATTTACTTTTAGCTTCACCTTATTTCAGTGATAAATACCATAAATTTCACCTGATAATTATTTGCTGGACACTTCTGAAATATTAAATAAGACAATCTTATATATCTCGTCAGAGGTTCCGATTGAATTTAATTTTGCCTTTCGCATCAAAGTCTATTAATATTAAATTAAACCGCTTCCTTTCATTAAACCAAAATATATTCTTTACTAAAATTGGAATTGTGCTTGATCTTTAAAGTACTGACCGACCAAATAAAGTTAATTACTTCGTTAATACGATCCACCAAAATATCATATTATATATTTAAGAAAGCATAAGTGAAACGTCTTGCGAATTATCGAGCCTTTCAAAACACCTGTCTTCAAAGGGCGCCTAAAGAAGTACTTCCTCAACAAAAATCCCTATGCCGAATAAGTTTAACAGATCATGCTCTATCCAGAGTCTTAGAGCAAATTGAAGAGCCTGACCGATGATCCAAACTCACGTCCCAACCTTACGAAAAGCCGCTACTAAGTTATCACGAAAGAAACGTCCAAACAGAATGTAAAGCAAGACACGTTTCAACGGAACCCACCTACAAAGTTATTATTTTCGTCGAAAGATCTCAACATCCTAATCAACCATCAACAATTCTGCCTTGAGCGTTTGATTATCAAAACTAATTCACATGGGCAGCTGAATACTAAACGCCGTATTATATTTGTAAGGGCAGCGGACATGGGCACAAATCTTGCCGAAACAATTAAGAACAATATATCGGATATGTACCTCAAAGCAAAACGAGTGTTCATATAGTCTCAAGTCCACTAAATTTGAGTGAATCCTGCTCCATGTGTGTTATCTCAAAATCACGTGATTTCGTGATATATGGGAGGTTTTCTAAGAAAAAGGGGCTCACAGACCTTTTTATAATATAATAATTAAAATAAATAATTAGCAAATTAAATTTTTTACTTAGTAAGTCTAAAATAGAATTTGGAAATGATGAACATGATTAATATGCTATTTAGGATATGATCAACATAATTACATAATTTAATATAATAAAAATAAATCAAATAGTAAATTTTTGACTTAAATTAAGAGCTTAACACATTTTAATCTAATAACATTAAAAACTAAAATGCAATAAACATCTCAATTTTGTTAAAAAATTCCCAGAATCTGATTTTCCTAGCAATTAACCCATATTTTAAATAATATATTATAATTAATTTTTAAATATAATATTCAATAATTTTCTTAAAACATTTGTTTCTCAACCAATCATTTTTATCATATGAGATAAATCACCTTATTTAAAATTATAAAAATAGTTTACCTTAACAAAAATAGTCATTAATCTCAGCAATCGAATATTACACAATAAATTTTACCTAGTATAGTTAACTCATGTTTAAGGCAACGCATTGAACCAATCATCATAATTGTATATTATTGCAAAAAAATGGTCAAAGTCAAGAATTTGCATAGAATGATCATAATTGCTGCGGCTTTTAATAAAAAAAAAAGAATTTTTTTATAAATTACAAAATAAACTTTATATCATATATAATTATTTTTTTTTAAAAAAAAAATGCCTAAAATCAGAAAGCTAATAAATAACAATTTCGATTTCAAGTTTAATAAAAGGGAAATTAATATTGACGATGAAAGCTATTATTATGTTTACAAACTGACATTCCCTTCCTCCTTATCTTTAAATGACATTATAAGTGTTATTAAAACACCTAACAATAATAAAAAAGCAAAAACATTTTCAAATGCTTTCATCGCCTATAAAAAGGCATTAATTAAAGAAAATTGTAATAGAAACATGAAATTACCTCCTATGGGCCAACTTCTATAATTGCATCATATTATTAGAATAAAGAACCAGAAAACGTAAAGGAATTTTACAAAAAGTTATCTGAGGATGCTAAATCTTTTTATAAGCAAAATATGGTTCAAATCATATTTGATAAATATATCGAAGAGGTTTCACATGTAATTAGTGGGTTTGATTTGAATTATGTCAATTATACCCAAGACATTAAGGATCTCATTGAAAATATAATTTATATGCAAAATTCAACAAGTGTGTATCTTCCGATTGAAGATAATTCTGCCAGCGTTATGAATTTTTTTCTTGACAATAATTATATCAATAGTTCTCAAGCTACTTTTCCTAATAGTAACCTTTTCGAAGACTCGTATTTAATGAATCAAGTTTCTAACGATCAAGAGTATATTAGAACGTTAGAATATAAAAACGTGCAGTTTTCACCTCTGCAAGTTGATTCAGATTATATCAATATTACCCAAGGTTTTGAGGTTCTCATTAAGGATATAATCTTTACGCTGTTACGTTGGTTTCGTAGCTTCAAATAAAATCTCAAAGGGTAAATAAGACTAAGACAATTACTCAAGAAATCACAGGTGAGGATTCACAATAACATCGAAGAATTATTCTCAATAATAAACACGTAATGATAAACACAAAATAAATACAAAGATAACTCAAAGATATTTCAAAGATTACGCTTCAGAGACTCTAAGTCAATATAGCGAATCAATACAATATCATATAATAAGTTAATTAACAAAAAGGATTGCACGAATGCAAAAGATCACAGATAATGTATAATAGTTTCAAAGGGTTTGCGAAGGATAAGTTTTATACTTGGTTAATTATACTCCTTTAT